CAGTTCCCTCATCTGTAAAATGAAGAGGAGTCTTAGATACCTGTAAGGTCTATCCCAACATGAATAGTCTAGAATTCTAGTTGCCTGACCCTAAGAACTCACCGATATGTGGGATTGACGCTGAAAGAACAAAATCCACAGTGATGAACCTAAAATAAATTTGGGGCCAGGAGGAGAAAAGCTCCTCCTCTCCTAATTCCGAACCCTGAATGACTTTGCCACCCTTTTTCAAAGTGGAAGCATTCTGGATACCAAAGGGGGACTCCCACCCCAGGACTCTGAACTGGTAGTAAGTTGCCTGCTTCCTATGAGGGGAAAGTGTGGTTTGAAAATGGGAAGCCCCAGCACTGCCCTGCCCCAGCTCCTGTACCACGGATCCTAAAGGCCTGGTTTGCCTGTTGAGAAGAAGAGATGTTTCTGCCTTTCCTAAGCACAAACTGTTGTCACAAGCCAAGTCAGGAGAGTGAGAACAAGCACCCCTGTGCTTTTAATACACAGCAGTCCTCTAGTTGGCTGGGTAGGTCCCAGGGCTTCAGACCACTGGACTAGAATTTCAAGATCATCAGGATATTTCCATTCATGCTCCTACCTGGAAAACATAAGGTGCTAGTCTCCCACCAACCACTGAGACAGCGGTTTTATAACCCCTAGAGGAGCCTAACAATGATGTTCACTCAAACTACTGCAGCCCAGTATATCTGTACATGACAGTGGAGTCTAAAGAGGTCCCCTTCCCATGGAGATACCCTTAGTTCTCCTATCAAGTTTGGCAGCCCCAGTCCAAGTTGGAAATAAGGGAAAACTTGACTCAAGTATCCCACTGGGGAATGGGTCTCCTTCACAGTCCCGCTGGTTCTCTCACTCATTACCCTCCACCAGGAGTCCCACATGTTCTTCTCCCTCCTCTCAGCCATTGCATATGCTATTTCTTCAGCCTGAAATGCCACTTCCTGGCCCCGCCTCTAGAGCAAAAGATGCTCTGGAGCAGCCTGGCTTGTAGCACTATGACACTCCTGAAGGTTACACTGGGGCAGGGTTTCTGTACTCACTGAGCAGAGTTTTAAGGTTTAAATTTTTAAGTATTTTATCAGTCATTTCTGATGTGCTTAGCCCCAAGGGCAAGAGTCTCCTGAAATTCAGATTCCACATCCCCAAGCCTGGGAAATGGTAGGGAGTTGGAAACAAGAGGTCTTTGTTGCAAAACAAACAAACAAACAAACAAACAAAAAACAGCCTTGCAAGTTCAGGGGCTATACTTTCAAGCTCAAAGCCCATCAGATCTTCCAGTATGAGCTATAAAGTTCTCACACCATAAAATTACAGCAATTTTGTAGCAGAAAGGGTCACATAGATTATCTAATCCCACTTAAGCTTACTACAGGTGAAAAGATTAAGGAAGTACAAAGAGACATGTAACAACTTGCTCACTGTCACATCATTAATTTATGACCAAGTCAGGATTATAACTAGAGTTGTTATTCAAAAGTAAGCTAAATACTTTTTTCAAAGTTAACTTCAAATCATTCGTCAGCACTAATAACATTCCAAACATCTGTTGATTTGTATAAATGATTTTCAGAAATTATTTGAATGATTATTTGTTTTATTTGGACATCACTAGCTAAATGGTATTTCTGAGCCATGATTTGGACATAAGAAACTGCCTCAAATTCTTCCAATAACTTACCCACTGGATTAACGATCATTAGGTTCCAGTTCCTGATGCACTGTTGCAGCTGGAAGATAGCTGAGAACACTGCCCACAATTCAAGACTATGTACATATACCTGCATGTCAGCATTTCCCATGGAGACCTGCATAGCCTACCCTGCAGCCCACTGACAATGCCACCTTTAACACTGCTGTTACTGGAAATGCCACTAACACCATCTGCCTCACTGCCTACTTTGCCAAAACTCAGATGATTTAGAGCATTGAGCCAATAACTTTGCTGCCTTCATGCCTCAGCCAACTAGCTGTCATACCATCACTACTCTGCAGCCTCCATGGATGAAACCTGTGAGACATTTGTGGTTTCAAAGAGTAGAGAATTTCTTAAATATAAACAAGATTATTTATCCTCTCTTGGCATCTGCTGAGACCTCAAGATTGATAATTCTATATATTCAGTGTTTCTGTTATCAACTAAAACATGCTAATACTGATAGCTTATTGACCAATAGTCATTGTAAAATCTTCAACAGGGAGCTTCAACTAATTATTATTTTATTGTATTTTATTAATTGAGTTTAATGCTTAGCTCAGTTACTATTAACCAACCAATATTTTATATCTATTAACCAACTAAAATGTTTCAGTATTTCAATAATTGGTTACATATTGGATTTGCTTATAACCCATGTCTCCTGGCTTAAATTCTATTTGTTATATCATGTGGCCATCCTGTGTAGAAAACCTAACTAGTCAAGAATTTACTCAGTCTTTCTGTGCCTTCAGTTACCTTTCAATACTTTCATTATATTCAGCTTTCAGTTGACACCAGTCAGGACTGCTGAAGAGTCATCCTTAAATCAACATGCATTTATTATACACTGACTTTATGCTCATCAGTGTGCGAGCCATAACTCTCCACGTGCCTCAGGATTCACAACAGACTCTTTATCACTGATGATGAATGAAAATTTCTCATATGCCTCAAACACTTGTCTCTGGTTTGACTTGGTAAAATAGAAAGAAAAGGCAGAGGGAAGGATTATCCTTCAACATGCCCTGTTTTCCTATAAACATCTTTGCAAATTAAGATGTCTATTGATTTTTCCCCAACAGAAAGAGCCAACAGAAATACCTAACACCAGAAATAAAAAACAAAAATAAGATGACTATTTGCTGTCTTCAAACAGCCCATTTCCTGCTCCAGGGCCACAGTGGACTCTAACACAGAAGATCAGCTCTCCTGCTTAGTCATCTAAATGTCCTCAAGGCATGCCAGTCTCCATGAGTATGCCTACCACCAAAACATCGCCCCATTCCATGCACTCACAGCACTCTTCCTTGGAACTCAAAGCATGAAGAATGTAGTAGGAGGTAACCAAACATCAACAATTGATTGAGAGGAATATAAAGCAGAAAAGTGAAAGAATGGTACCCAGGTTAGGATCTGAGATACAACAGCTGAGCTGATTATGAGAAAGTAACAAGGCACTGGACTTATTCAACCAATAACTCTTTCATTTTAAGGAGTTTTGATCATATTTGCTTTTGAAGGTATAAAGAAAAGCCCATGCACATGGAACTTTTATGAGGGAAGGAGAGCAGGCATTTTCACAAATGTGCCCTTACGCTATGAAGAGGACAAAGGGAAAGCACCCTTAAGAATCAAAATACAGCATGGAACAACCGGAACTCCTACATACTGCTGTGGGAGGGTAAAACGGTAAAGCACTTCAGAAAATTCTTCGGCGTTACGCAGAATAGTATATCATACGCTACACACGAACCAGAAGTTCCACTTCTAAGCATATGCTTAAGGGAACTGAGTACATATCTCTACCAAAAGTTTTTTACAAGAATAATTATAGCAGCGTTGTTGGTAATGAGCCCAAATTAAAAATTATCCAAATTCCCATCTACTGTAGATTGGCTAAATAAAATATTCCAACAAAGTAATATACAGCAATGAAAATGAATAGATGACAACAGCATGCAACAGTAGGATGAATCTCATAAACAAAATGTTGAGTGAAAGAAGCCAGACACAAAGAGCATTTATGCATCATATAATTCTATTTACATAAAGTAAAAAAATGGGCAAAAGTAATCTATGTTGTTAGAAAGCAGGATAATGGCTACTTTGGAGGGGTGGTGAGAAAAGTTACTGGAAGGGAGCATGAAGAGCGCTTCTGAAGTGCTGGTGTACTTTTGTTTCTTAATCCGAGTACTGTTTAGATGTGCTCAGTTTATAAAATTTATGAAATTGAACACTTAAGCTGTATGTACTTTTCCATGTTCGTATTTGCGGCAAAACGAAAAAAATGACGGCAATTGTTCTTCAATACCTGCATCCCAGACCTTTAACATCTAAGTCTTCGTGTTCTCCCACCCTGATGCTGAGCTTGGCCACATGAATTGCTTTGGCAAATGAGACTTATTAAACACGATTTCAGCAGTGGCTTGAAAAATGTTTGAATGTTCCTGCTTCTGCTCTTGTTCCTGTGCAATTTCCAGGAAAACATATCCAGGCTAGTCTGCTCGATGATGAAACAGAGCACAGCCACGTTGCCCCATTCATCAGTGCCACGGCCATCCTAGATGAGCCAACAGCCATCTGACTCCCAGTTACACTATGAGTGAATCAACATAGACCAGAGAACAGTCCAAACAAGCCCAGCTAGGAGTCAAATAAATGCTCATTTCAAGACAGTGAGCTTTGGATAGGTTGTTAAGCAGCATATTGTGTAATAAATAATTATTCACTTCAATTCAAAGTTTAAACATGCAGGTAGTACAAAATAATCCCATAAATTTGGGCTCAAAATGTTCTCCTAACCTATCTATTTTGAGCATGGCCACACCTTAGGGAAAAGAGAATTTGTCTGAGATCCCATAGGACCAGGATCCCAAAAGTATAACAGGACATCCAAGTAAAATCAAAGTCTAAGACAGCCAGAAACAACTGGTAAACCAACCTGAAGCAGTTCTCTAAGACACCTAAGAATTCTGTCCTGTTTTTCCCAGAAGATGCAAAAGTGAATGCTTACTTCTGCCACCTCTCATTTTTTAAATGCCCTCTTAATTCACCCTACTCTATATAAGAAAATCTTTCACAATATTCAATAGGTTATAAATATTAAAATATATACATATAAAGCAAATTAGCTTTTCTTCCTATTTTGGTCATATTTCACCATGGAGATTACAAAAAAAAAAAAAAAAAGAGCTTCGTAGACCCTCTTGGCAGCTTTTAGACCCACCATTGAACATCGATGGGTTTAAACATTCAGCTGGTCTTCTAGCATAGAGCTGAGTAATAGCCATGTTACCTGGATTAACCTGAGCTTTTGCAGAACTCAAGACAGGCAGCAGCAGGAACAGCACCAAGAGCATTCTGGGAATCAGGATCATCTCAGAAGATGGTGTTGGAACTGGAGTCTGCTGCCAACCAATAATGCAAGAAAACAGAAAGAAAAGGAGAGGAAATGAGTGAGGCAGATACTGCCAACATGAATGGACACAATTCTCACAGTTAATTTTGTGTTTCTATAGTGTTTATTTCTAAACATGGGACTTCAAATCACAGACTTTGGAAATTGAATGGCACATCCAATAATCACCTAATATAATAATTTTCAAACTCTATTAGATTGCACACTCATAAAATTTACATTAGCAAAAGTATAGTGAGGCAACAAAATAAGGTAAATACTTACCCAGCCAGGCGCAGCGGCTCACACCTGTAATCCCAGGACTTTGGGAAGCTGAGGCAGGTGGATCACCTGAGGTCTGGAATTCAAGACCAGCCTGGCCAACATGGTGAAACCCCACCTCTACTAAAAATACAAAAAATTAGCCAGGTGTGGTGGTGGACGCCTGTAATCCCAGCTACTTGGGAGGCTAAAAGAGGAGAATCTCTTCAACCAAGGACGGGGGCAAGGGGCAGAGGTTGTGGTGAGCCAAGATTGCACCATTGCACTCCAGCTTGGGCAACAAGAGCAAAACTTCATTTCAAAAAAAAAAAAAAAAAGATAAATACTTACCTAAATGGTGAATAATGGTAAAGTAAAACATATTTATCATGTAAACTGATGTTTTCATAATCTTAATATTGATTCCAATATTCAACCAAGAAAAACTTTTAATGTTTGCCTTTCAAAATATTTAAGTTCAATATTTATCCTGATTATCTCTGGAGTGATACCTGGGATTCTGTATTTTCAGGTTTCCCCAGAATGATTCATATAATAATAGATTCCATTTGGAGACATCAGCATGAACTCATGTTTAGCTTAATAAGGATACAAATAGTTACATATGGAAATATTTATAGATATGTGTATATGCCTGGGTCAGTATACACACATATGTTCCATCCGCTGAGAGAGCCTAGAAGCAATGGCATCCCTGTAGCAATGAGCAAACCTAGTACTCAGATCTTTATTTCTAATAACCATTCTTCAATAAAAGGAGCCAGGATTCCTCAGAAAAAATGGCTGATTCTAGGACTCGAGCAGAATATATACAAGATGGACTTGGAGTACCTTGCAGTACCGGATTGAAAAAAATATACACACAAAAAGATAATAGGAGTATGTCAAAGGGACACAGTAGCCAACTTAATGAGTTCCCCTTTCCCAAAAAATTAGTATCGAATTATAAACCAAAGAGTAAACTAAATATACATGAATCCATGCTGCTATAAATTAATGATTAAATAAAACAAATGGGAGAATAGGCATATTTCCCATTCAAAAGAATTCCAAATAATTTATGTAGATAATCTGCTCTTAAGGAAATGAAAATTACTATCTTCCTTCCCCAGCTCCTTAAGAGTAAGTTACACATAGTTACTTTGTCTCAAGGATTGCAGCATGAAAATGGAGAAAGAAAAACAGTCACTTTTCAGTGGAGAAATCTGACAAACACTTCCTCAAGACAGGTGATCAAGGTTAACATCAACATTGATAAGTCATGTTGATAGTAGGTGTCCTTGATATGATGTGATGAAAATGACACTTGACCTCTGTGGTCTTCCTCCCCAAAACCTATTACACCTCAGTCTACTTAGGAAAAAAATCACCGGACAAATCTTAATTGAGGGACATTCTATAAAGTTCCTGATGAGCAATTCTCAAAACTGTCAGTCATTAAAAACAAGAAAGTCTGAGAAACTATCACAGCTAAGACAGTCTAAGGAGACATGATGACTAAGGGTAATCTATATGCTGGCAAAAGACATTAGGGGAAACTGAGGAAATCAAAGTAAAGTATGGACTTTAGTTAATAATAACGTATCCATATGAGTTCATTCATTTTGACAAATGTACTACGTTAATATAAGATGATAATAATAGGCTAAACTGGGTGTGGGATATACATAGATTCCCTGCACCTATCTTCACAATAATTATATAAATATAAAACTGTTCTAGAAGCCTGGGTGCAGTGGCTCATGCCTGCAATCCCAGCACTTTAGGAGACCGAGGTGGGCAGATCACCTGAGGTCAGGAGTTCAAGACCAGCCTGGTCATCATGGTAAAACCCCATCTCTGTTAAAAATACAAAAAATTAGCTGGGCATGGTGGTAGGTGCCTGTAATCCCAGGTACTCAGGAGGCTGAGGCATGAGAATCACTTGAACCCGGGAAGTAGAGACAGAAGTGAGCTGAGATTGTACCACCGCACTTCAGCCTGGGCAATAGAGCAAGATTCAGTCCCACAAAAAAAAAAAAAAAAAAAAAAAAAAAAAAAAGGCTGTTCTAGAATACAAAGTTGATTTTTTTTTTAAATTCCCTCTGGGGAGGCCGGGCGTGGTGGCTCAAGCCTGTAATCCAAGCACTTTGGAGGCCAAGGCGGGCGGATCACCTGAAGTCGGGAGATCGAGACCAGCCTGACCAACACGGTGAAACTCCATCTTTAAAAAATAAATAAATATGGTGAAACCCCGTCTCTACTAAAAGCGCAAAAAATTAGCTGGGCATGGTGGCACGTGCCTGTAATCCCAGCTACTCAGGAGGCTGAGGCAGGAGAATTGCCTGACCCCAGGAGGCGGAGGTTGCGGTGAGCCGAGATCGCGCCATTGCACTCCAGCCTGGGTAACAAGGGCGAAACTCCGTCTCAAAATAAATAAATAAATAAATAAATAAATAAATAAATAAATAAATTCCCTCTGGGTAACACTAAGAATCAAGCAAGCATTGGATCCACTATTAGAAAGAGTATGTAATGCAAAATAATAAAGAGAGAAGAAATTCCCTTAAGCTGAAGTGATTAGAGAAGGCTTCATGGCAAAATATATACCTGACCAGGGTCTTGAAGGATGCACAAGACTTTAGTTGGCAATAACAGGGATGAAATAAATAAGAGGATGACATGAGTATGGCACTTTTTTTTTTTCCAGAAAACAGAAACTTTCTTAGACAATTTCTAAGCAGTATAATCCTGACACACCCAGAGTGATTTAAAAAAAAAAAAAAAAAAAAAGAGGCAATATAGTCAGATGGTTTTGCCTGAACAGGATGGTTCCAAAGCAAATAAAACATAGAAAATTTAAATGGTCCCACAGTTGGGGGCTGAGGGTTGCATGATCCACAACTACAAAGGATGATGGGCATAGTTTCATGGTATTGATTTGGATAAGACAAAACACATGTCTCAGTGTTCCTAGTCACTTCCAGCAGCAGGAATACTATTTTCACAAATGAGTCCCTAAATAAACATGCCCAGAGAAAGAAACACACAGGTGAACCCTGGAGACATTGGTCTTGACTATAGTCGAACACTAACTCCTGACCATAATCCAGGCTGTCCTTCCACGGAGACCTGAGCTCTTCGTTAGCAGCCATTCAGTAAGTGCTGAGGCCCAGGACTGCCCTGGCTCACCGCCCTCTCCTGCCAGTCCTTTGCATAAGAGTCCTAGAATTCTCTCTCTCCCGTGGCACCTCTCTCATGGGTAACTGGCCATAACTTCTTCCCCTCCGTAACTTTCCCTAATAATTCCTTCCACGAAGAATGTCTCCCACACCTCTTTTCTTTTCTTTCCTTCACCAAAACACAGGCTTAATTTAACTCTATTGGATCCTTCACAACATTGTTGTAAAATTATCCACTTAATCATTAACTTCAAAATGGCTTATTCTTATATTGCCAGAGTATTACTTTATATCATGTACAAAGTAGGTACTCACAAATGGTTTTTAACTGAGCTAAGCCAAACTACTAAGTGTTCAAAAAATGTTAACTAATTTTCTTTTTGAAACTGTTGCTGGGCTTCAAGCCGTGAATCTCCAAACGTGGTAATTATTGTTTTGTTTTGCTTAAAATTAGATGCATGTCAGTTAACAAACAGAGCACTGTAACGCACCTAGAAGTATCATACCTATACCATGTAGATCTACTATCAGAGATGATCTCATACAATATTCACAGGAACTCTATGAGGTTTGTTTTCAACAATAAGAGAGCTAAGGAGGTTAAAGCCCATCAGGTTGCACAGCTGACAGGCAACCAAACTCATATGTGAACCTAAGGTTTGTGTGACTTCAAAATCCACATGCATTTTTATTGTTTTTGCTCATTATCACACCATGTCATCCTTTGGTCTGGGCTCCCCCTGCCTCACCAAAGCTGCCCTTCTCCTCATCCTTTGCACCTCAGACACACTGGGGCTTCTTTTCTTTTTCTTCCATTTTCTTTTGCCTAAGGACCTCTGCCAAGAAGTCTCTCTCCCCTCTTGGCCTAGTTCAAATCTCCATTAAACGGTCACTTTCTCAGTGAAATATTCTCTGAGCCCCTTGATTGTTACATGCTCTAAAAACATAATTTTTTTATATAGAAATGATCATCGTGTCTCATTATATATTCATTGCTGTAATTGTTTAATTTGTATCCCCCCCAACACACACAAGCTCCATGTTTATTTTATTCATATTGTAGTCTCAACACTACCAGAATGCCTGATAAGTATTTGTAGAATGAATTAATGATTGTCTTGAGCCATATATTCAGTGACTACATCTGGTCATTCTAAATGCCATACCCTAAAAGAAAGTATCTCTAAAGCGTATTGTGAGCAGAATCACCCTTTTCTGCACTTTGAATGAGTCTTTCCAAGGGTTCAATATTTAAACAATGTGATATGTGAAGAGAACTCAAAAGCATACAGGGAAGAGGAATTAGAAAAGCCCTTCTCTACCTACTTCCTTAGTTAGTAGTACAAATCCCTTTGACAGTTTATTCAAGCCTTAAGGAATAAAACTCGAAATGAAAATACCACTGCTCAAGTCATTGGCCTTCATTCATTCATTTAGCAACTATTTTGTAAATATCTATTAGGTGCTGTTACAGGTTATGAGCACATCAGTAAAAAAAGGCAAAGAAGGTTCCTGCCAACATGGAACTTATAGTACAGAAGCAAACTACTAAATGAAGAGGAAT